TGGGGACTTCCAAAGCACAGGCTCCACGAGAGCTGACTAAGACGGGAAGCCTGAAATCGTCATGGAAAGTCTCGAATCTGTTCTTGTTTAAGAATAATAAAGCAAGCAAGGAGAAAAAAGATGCATCTCAATGCAGCAGTATGTCTCAATTAACAACGCCTTCTCCTGCGACTCTTACCGGACAAACCAGCGAAGATTGTTTGTTTCCTAGAGATCGTCTCCCTCCTGATGCATCAGAACAGCAAAGCATAATCCCAGGCGAGGTATCCCACCAATTCTGTAAACCTTTTTCAATCTATTCAAGGAGGATGAATATTCATGTTAAATCAGTAGCCATTTTGATCCATTTGCAGGAGGAAGTGACTACACCAAAGCCCCTAGCGACTGGGAATACAATTGAAAACCAGGACCAGCCGAGTCCAATTTCGGTTTTGTTTCCACCATTTGAAGAGGAAGTTGTCAGCATTCCAGAATGTTCTGGGTCAACCAGACATTGGACAGCTCAAGGTTAGTTCTCTGGTTGCTTAGCTTTTTCAGAGAGTTTTGTTACTTAACTTTCCTTGTATGCTAATCTAAATGTTCCGTTCTCAACAGGAAAGGAAGTGTCTCTTAAATCTAATCTAATCGACAAATCACCACCAATCGGGTCAATTGCTCGGACCCTCTCATGGGATGATGACTCTTGCACAGACGACATATCTAAACCTGCAATGGGAGTCCATGAGGATGAAGACTGGTATCTTTTCATAGAAACGATCTTGACAGCTGCTGGTTTCAGCAGTGGTTGCACGGTTTCTCATGACCCCCTCATGTCACGATGGCACTTGCCAAACAGTCCCTTAGACTCTTTACTCAGAGACAAATACACCAACCCAGATAACAACAACATCAAGGAGTTCATCCACGAAGGCAAACGCAGACAACAGCGATCAACTCGTAAGCTCATTTTCGACCGCATCAACTCCATCATTTTAGAAACGACGACTACGCTCCCGGGCAATGGTTCTCCGCATTTCAACCTGGTGGAGCATGTGTGGGCCCATTTAAAGGACTGGGTTTCAGATGAGCCTAGCAAGCGTGACTCAGGAGAGGACATGGACGCCAACAGTTTGGCTGCAGAGAGTCTTGTGAAGGACGAGATAGTCGGGAGGACATGGACTCATAGCTTGCAAGTTGAAATAGACGACTTTGGGATTGAAATTGAAAAGAGATTGTTGCAAGAGCTAGTAGAGGAAGCCGTTATCGATCTTACACGATGAGATAAGACAAGAGTAACAATATATACTACGTTGAATAAAAATGTAAGATAGTGTTAAGTTTATTTTTTTGTCTATGGGAAGATTTATGTCTCGATTTTTTTGTAATGATTGAGAGAGAAAACAAAATGCTGTGTAGCCATTGTTGAAGCAGAGCAATAAGCAGTTGTTCCCATTTTAACCACATCTCGTTACTCTTTTGTACACAAACACACTGAAATGAAAGCTATGTTGCGATCTAAACAGAGTTTCAAAAAAAGCATCAAACGATAACATAGTTGTGTAATATCTATGCACACTCCAAAGTTGAGAGGACAGAGAGGAACAAAACCAAGAGTACTGATTCCAGACACAAGAACGCTGTCTTTTGAGTTAAGTTGATGGACTCTGGCTCTGACCGTTGATCAATCCGTACTGTAGAAGAACAAGAATATAAATGACATTCAATCACAAGCTTAAATCTTTGGTAGTAAGTTCAAACGACAAGGAAACTTAGTTTTTTTTTTTTTTTTTACCTTCTCTCTGATTCGGGACCTCCAATTGTCAATATTGCTTGATCCAGAAGATGTCTGGTTTGCCTGTGGACCAAGAAGATTCTCTCTTGCTCTACTCATCGGATTCTCAAAATCATCCTCATCGTCAAGCTCTGATTGTCGGGGTGAAACCATAGCTCTCAAAACCAAAGCCAGTAGCAATGACAGTAACTGAAACACCAACTCACATATGAATACAAACATAGTCTAAAAGAATCATGAATTAACTCAAAGGCAAGAACTCAGTTTGTTACCTGGATCGCTACCACAACAATCCCGACCCATTTGCAAATATCGATGTTTTCTTCGATGAAAGCTCGAAGGCTATTGAGTTCTCCAGTTGGATCATAAGGAAGATCCTATAGAAACACAAGTACAGACCGTTAACACAACACAAAAGATACAACCTTAAAATGCAAGAAAAACACCTCACCTTTTCCCAGTGACGGTCAATCGCTATATATCCCACGAGAGCCGCTTCGAGTATGATCAGAAGAGTTTTGAGAATTGAATACTAAGACCTTTATCAAGGATTAAACATCACAACTGAATAATATTAAGAGAAACATCACAACTATGTATAAAAGGATACGAAACACAAGCAACATCCATTGATAGCTTCAGCTGCAATGAAACCGATGATAGTGACAATGCAGACCAAAATCCCAATGGCCATGAAAGAGTAGATAAACCTTGCATTGAATTCAAAACCAAACCAAATCAAATTCATTGGAACATTCTCCTTCAAGCATAAAACAGTGTCTTAGCTTAATCCCAATGTAATAACACCAAAAATCATCATCAAGCATTTTAAAGGTTCGTCCTTTTAAAACAAGATTAGTCAATTAGGCACAGATTTGAATTGAAAACCCTAAAAATGGAAACTTTTATAATACCATGGAGCAGGAAGATCTAAGGAACGGAGATTGAAACCCGAATCTCCGAGAACGATACCCGATACGAGATTAATCGGATTCTTCAAAGAATCAGAAACACTGTTGATCTCAATTCTTGAATAAGAAGAAGAATCCGGAGATGAAGCCGCCGGAGGCTGAGACGGAGGAGGATCAACGGGAACGTGATGATTATATTGATCGAGCATCCAAATCGAGTAGATTATGATTGAGATACCGATGAAAGCTTGGAGAAAATTGAGGATCTTGAGAATGGAAGCGAACGAGACATGGCAACAATTGTGACGCATTTTTTCTAACACGATATCGGAGAAGACGAGAAAAAACGAAATCAAATTTTCTCCGAAGAAAGAGTATGTTGATGATTTCGGACAAAAGAGAAAAAAGCTGTTTTGACAGATAGGATAGAATCCGAAGCTTACTAATTAATCTTCATTTTCTATCATTTTCTTTTTCGAAATTCTCATTTATTATTTTAATTATATAATTATTAATGGTTTAAATATTTATATACCTTTTTTTGTGAGCAAAAACTATTGATATATACTAATAATTGAAAACAGTATGTGTTAAATTTGCTGCAAGTATGTGAATTTTGCCGATCGGCTTCCGGACGACCGGAAATTACACTGGGGGATATGTTTGAGAGGGTCCGGAAGGTAGATTATGCTATCAATAGGCGGTCTCGGTTATGGAAGCGGATTATACTCCCTCTGTTTCACAAAGAGTGTCATTTTAGAGTTTTGCACACAGATTAAGAAAACATTAAATTTTTTGTTTTTTCTAAACAAAAACATCATTAACTATATACCTAAACATAATCTGCCCAATAGTAAAACAATCTGCAGAATACTAATAGTCATAAAACATAAAAAATCATTAAATTTTGCATTGAAAACCTAAAACGACACTCTTTGTGAAACAAAAATAAAACCTTAAAACGACACTCTTTATGAAACGGAGGGAGTACTATCTTGAAACCGTAGTAGTAGTACGGTTAGAGTTGCCACTTTGATGTTATTACAAAACTATATATATGTATGAATTACTTGCTTAGTTGATGGAAATCTCAAGAGTTGATGGATTTCTCATGAAACACAATTTTTGGGTTTCTTGTGGCCTTTAATAAAAAGTAGTATTCATAAGGTTAAGAAAGATGAAAAAATCGTCCAAAAATTCTTTAACATTCAAATCAGAGAAAGCACGGCCCGACTGATAGAAAAGCCATGATAATCCATCCATAGTTAACATTTAACAAGCATGCAAACTATTTTAAAAAAAAAACTTACTAATAATTTCCTCTTGCAATTGATGTGGTTGATGAGGCCTAACAAACTAAATGGGCTATATAATAAATGGGCTAGGGTGGAAAGCTGATTGTGAAGAGACTTCCCGCTTCAGAAGTTCTTCAAGTTCTACTACAGATGGGGACTGTTTGAGAAGAGTTCAAGTGATGTAAAAGGTACAGCTCATGATGATTGTATTGTTTGTGATGATGATGATGAGAATTAAGTATGCATGTGAATGTTAGATGACTGAAAAAGATAGACAACCACTTATATAACTAACCAACAACATTTTAGGCTTACCCCTTTCTCTCTCTCTATTTTTATTTATTGATGATTTGAGTACACTAATGTTTAAATCTGTCACTTTAATTGGACGGCCTAGCATTCTTCGATTCCTCGATAATGTTTTTCCAGTAAAACTATATTCAGAGACGTCATTTTGTCGTGTGTATGTCTTGTTTTTTCTTCCCCATGTATATTTAGGTGATTACTTCAAACCAATGAAATCTTGAGTTCACACCCGGACTAACTGAGTATGGAAGACTCGAAATTTGGACTATGTCCACAAAGAAAACTCGGTACCACTAAACCATTAAAATTTTGTTGAACTAATTATATATATAGGATATTCAATTTGTTCTATAAAGTGTGTGGTTTTAGGCTAATGTTTTTGCATCAAAAGGAACATTGTTTTATGATTTCAATGTAACTTTTAGAAGGGTATATCTTTTTACTCCATAATAAAAAATATAACAAAGTTGTAAGATACTGTATTACAGATCTTTAAAATCAACATATATTGTAAGACATAAAAATATCATACCTTTTTAATATGCTGAAACATGTCAAAACAAAATTTATAAGAATCAAAATGGATTATCAATCTTTAATTTATAAAATTAATTTAGAAATTAGAAGTTTATAAGACTTTCAATTAAGTTGACCAAAGTATATATTTTCAATTAATTTTAAATAAAAGAATAACGCGTAATCAATTGGATAATCTATGCATGATGGATAATACTAAATCCAAAATCTTTGCTTAATTAATTAAAAATTAATGAGTACGCACGCCCAATCTAAAAATTCTCATATATATGTTACATGAAATCCATCAGAAAATTAACATAATCAAAAATTATAAACCAAAAACAAAACAAAGAAAAACTAAAGAAAATGGAAAGGCCATCGTGTTCTTCTACTTTGAAAAATGTATGTGAAGACAACAAAACATCTTTGTGGAAGATAAGGAAGATCATAACAGAGAAAAGTGATGGTTGGTTGGACTTTGATAATAACAACGATATTGAGAATCATATTTTGAGAAGTTTGGGCGAACCCATTGGTAGAGTGAAAAAAGATCCTATAGAGATCAAGATCGACGATTACGATACAGGGAGCCAGTACGAGGTAACCTTAGGGTACAATCATAAATCTGATATATATTACATTGGAGCATTATGGAGATTGAAGGAGCTTGCTGTTGGAGATGAAATAGGATTGTTTTACGATCCTATTTCAAAGAACTTGTGTTTCTCTGTGTTGAAACAAGCAAAACCCTGCTCTATCAAAAAAAAGAAACAAGCAAAACCCTGATGATCACAACTTGTTTAATAAGGGCTAATTATATAGCATATTGTTTGAAGTTAAGGACATAAAAATATGTATGGACGATAATAATGCATATCATTTCTATGTATAAATAAATATACGTACGACAATACATCTTAGTTTTTGCATTTCACATTTTCCCCCTCTTAACAGCTTGTTTCTCACAATTAGATCGACCGACGACATAACATTTATTACATACACCAAAAATAATGTAAATCATTAATACATTTATCCATAGTGTTATATAACAAACAAGAGACTTGCCGTAGGAGCGGGAGACTAATCTTTTCTTTAACTTTTCATATTATTACAAAAAAAACGCAAAAGCTTTCGCTTTAGATCATGTCCACATTTCTCCTAACATGGATTTTTATGTCGGCAGCGTTATGCGTAACGTTAATTCTTATGCCGCAACAAACAAACGCGGCTAGAGCGTTCTTTGTGTTTGGCGACTCACTCGTGGACAGTGGTAATAACAATTACTTAGTCACCACCGCTCGTGCTGATTCTCCGCCGTATGGAATCGATTATCCGACCGGTCGACCAACTGGTCGTTTCTCCAACGGCTTGAACCTCCCTGACATCATCAGTACGGCACCGTTTTCAGTTATAATTCTATAATTTTATTTAAATATCTTTTCGTCATTTTGCTTGGTTTTTTTTTAGGTGAACAAATTGGATCTGAGCCTACATTGCCAATTCTTAGCCCTGAGCTCACCGGAGAGAAGCTATTGATCGGAGCTAACTTTGCCTCTGCCGGTATTGGAATACTCAACGATACTGGCGTTCAATTTGTAAGTATTTTTTATCTCGTTTAATTTTTAAAAATTTGATTAAACTCCAAATTAAACTAAATTTTCATTTTTAAATATATTTTTGATCACTTAAGACAAAATAAACTAAACTATTTTGGACTCCAGTCTAATCTTTGTTTTTTGGTGTGAATAATTTATTGCAGTTGAACATTCTTAGGATCGGAAGGCAATTCGAGCTGTTCCAAGAGTATCAAGAGAGAGTGAGTGAGATTATAGGTTCAGACAAAACACAACAGCTTGTAAACGGGGCTCTTGTCCTCATGACTCTCGGTGGCAACGATTTCGTCAACAACTACTTCTTTCCCATCTCTTCTAGAAGACGCCAATCATCTCTCGGCGAGTTTAGCCAGCTTCTCATCTCAGAATACAAGAAAATCCTAACGGTATACACATAATTTCTTAGGTTACACGTTAGGTTTATATATAGGGTTTTGACTCTTATTCTGGGATGCAGAGGCTGTATGAGTTGGGAGCGAGGAGGGTTATGGTGACGGGAACAGGACCATTGGGTTGCGTACCAGCCGAGCTTGCCTCATCGGGAAGTGTGAATGGAGAATGTGCACCCGAGGCTCAACAGGCTGCAGCAATCTTCAATCCGCTTTTGGTTCAAATGCTTCAAGGACTTAACCGTGAGATTGGTTCTGATGTTTTCATTGGGGCTAATGCCTTTAATACGAATGCGGATTTCATCAACAATCCCCAAAGATTTGGTGAGTACTCCTAATTGGTATATATGTGTCATGAATCATTTTTAGACCTAATTTGATACACTTGCATAGGTTTTGTGACGTCAAAGGTAGCATGCTGTGGGCAAGGAGCATACAACGGGCAAGGCGTTTGTACCCAGTTGTCAAGCCTATGCCCTGACCGCAATGCCTATGCTTTCTGGGACCCTTTCCACCCAACCGAAAAAGCCACCCGACTCATCGTCCAACAAATCATGACTGGTTCCGTTGAGTACATGAACCCCATGAACCTTAGTACCATCATGGCTTTAGACTCCAGAATATAATCAAGGAAGTAATCTTTTTTCAGAATATGTTATGTGACACAATGTTTGCTGATATGCAAGTGTCATTTCGGTATCTCTATTTAATTTTGGCATTTTTCATACCGGCTTTAGACACTAATCAATTATCATTATTGTATGTTGTTTAATGTTTATCTTTTACAAATTTTCCATATATAACAAAAAATCAGTGAACCTAGCAAACAATGTTAAGGTACTGAGGATTGTTTTTGTTATCAAATCTCTCTTCTTCGTCTAAATTAGGGATTTGTTAATTTCTCTCTAATGGTAATGGAGAGTCTCTGTCTCAGCTCTGTTCTTTTTTTTTTTTTTTTTTCTGTTATGTTTCAATTTTGTGATTGCCTCGTCACTTTACGAAGGCTTTATACAACTTTGTCAATTTTTAGATCCGCAATAAGATGAACGGATCAACTTTGCCATTCATCTTTCTCTAAAAATCCTTTGCATATCAGTTGAAGTGTTACTAAGCTATGAGCCTATATAATGTAAGCCGTGAGGTTTTTAATGACTTAACATCATTCCACGTCATAAAGTTATTTATAACATAATGGAGAAAAAGATATAAATGTATGAGACAATAATAGATGAAAAAAAAAAAGTTATATCGATCTTAGAAAATATTTCCTCTGTTTTTAAGTGATGTTTAGGATTTTTGTACACACATTAGAAAATCACAAATTTTTATTTAATTTATCTAGTTTACATTAAAACATCATTAATACTTTAATAGTAATAACAGAATATACTGTAAAATATAATTGGTCAAAAAAATTAAATATATTAAATATTTGCATAAGAACATCACTTAAAATGATAAGGAACAAAATATATTTCTTTCTTTCCTTCTAAGTACTATTTTTTTTCTCTAGTCTTTCCAAAATTGTGCTAAATATAAGTTCTTTCTCTCTGAAGTGTGTCTCCTCTGCATGCTATGACGTTTTCAATACTCTTAGCATCAGCTCTTTTGTCACTATTTATCTCTTCCCCATTTTGGTCTCTTTGATGGCTCCACGTGAACATACATATAGGAGCAAGGAAGCTAATATACAAAGATTTCCAAGACAATGATGAAATTTTTGTGATGACGACCTTAGATTTTTTTGTTCTCTAGCTACCGACTACAAACAATATCAATAAACATTTAGATATCAATTATATGCATTGTCTGTTCCAAAAAAAAATCCATCTACATATCTACTATCCTTTTCAAATAAATCGAAAAAACGATATCTAAATGTTTTTTTTTTTAATATTGTTCTTCGTTTTATTAGATAGTGAGAATGTTCTACATTAGAAATTGAGATATTTTTATACTAATAAATAAAATTTTGAGTTGAAAGCACATGATTCCTAATACGTTTATAGAGAATTGTGTAATCAAAAACTAAGAGGGAGTTGTTATTTCATATAAAGTCAATACAAAATTCTCATTCTTCTCTTTGTATTTTTTTTTTTGTTTAGATAAAAATAGATTACTAGTTTGCTCGTACATTTGTCCCATGTATTGTACGACATAAGACTAGAATAACAACAAAAAAAGCCTTCGTGCATGGAGAATGATGACGTCACTGGGAATACTAAAAACATCAATAGCGCTCACTTCCGGTTTTGGGAGAAAGAGAGAGCTTATCTTAGCACAAAATTCGAAGAGAAAAAGAAATCAGTAGAAGAAACAACGAATCTGATCCATCACTATAAGCCAAAACACCATTCTACAACATTTTAGTTTTTTTGAGCTTTCTATTCTGGCTAAACAAGAGTAACCGCGATAACATGTCTTATTTTCTCTTTCTTTTAACAATTCACAAAAAAAAAAAAAAAAAAAAAAAACAGATGAAAAGGTATGATTATTCACATGTGTTTCTGGGCGACTTCTCTAAGAAATTTTGTTTCTTTTTTGTCTCTTAAGGGATGAATCATTTTTGTTCCCGACTTGGAAGCCGACGATGCATGATTATATCATTCCTCATTCTTCTACTTCTATTTCTTCCTCCCCAAAAAAATCCATCCATCATGTTCGATTTTTTTTTCTTCTCTTACTTGCAAGTTTTTTCTGCAGTTCCATGATTAGGGTTTTTGGTTTTGGTTTGAAACTAGGGGTGAAGATGATATCATGGAGATCTTATGGAAGAGCCGCCAAGTTGTGCGAACCAGCCAGACACAGAGACCCTCTCCACCTCCCATTCTCCGCGGCAGCGGAAGCGGAAGTGGAAGCAGGGGCGGAGAAGAAAATGCTCTGCTTCCTCTTCCTCTTCCCCATCCTCCGCCTCCACTTCCCCAGCCTCCGCCTCATCAGGAAGAAGAAATGGTGTCTTGGCTTCACCATCATCTCCGCCAGGATTATGTCTGCTCCAAAATTATCTACTCCATTCCCGCTACTAACCCGCAAAGTTCCTTCTCCCTGGAACCACCACCACTGCCCCCCAGTGCTCCCTATATTCTGCCGGCGTCGAGACTCACATGTCAGCTTCGTGGTGTACAGGGAACTGAAGAAGCTCGTGGTTCAACGTCTAGGAAGAGGTCACGAGCTGCAGAAATGCATAACCTTGCCGAAAGGGTTCTTACATTCCATTGGAGTTTCATGATTCTCAGTTTCAACAATGGAGTCTCTGTTTCATCTCATTAATACGTAGTTTTGTTTGTCAAACTTGTTTTCGTTTAACAGAGAAGGAGAGAAAAGATCAACGAGAAGATGAAGACTCTGCAAGAACTCATTCCTCGCTGCAACAAGGTCTCTCACAATTTGTTATAACTTGTTGTTATTAAACTTACGGTTGATTCTGATTCTGTTTCTACTCTGATCAGTCTACTAAAGTTTCAACGCTGGATGCTGCTATCGAGTACGTCAAATGGCTACAGAGCCAAATACAAGTATGCTCTTCAAAACAGAATGTGTTTTAAACCAATGGTTCAACATGGAAACAGTTCAGATGTATTAGTTTGTTGAGGTTACTAGGGTTATTTTTGGTCTCTATCAACCAGCGTCTCCGCAGGTTTTGGTTCCTAAACAGTTTAGATTTGATATCCGCAGATTCATCTCCTTTGATGGGTTATAAAGTTTCTTGGGAGATAGATGCACATCTTATAAGTCTCTACTTCGAAACGCTGGTACCTCGTTTAGATGGATGGCCTAATAGCTGGTTCCTCTTATTATGCCCTGTTATTGAGGTCTTACTTGCTTCCCAAGTGTATAGGATTATCCTGAAGGACATTAAGGTCCTGACTGAGATTTTAATATATGCCAGATGATCTTGATGGGCCAAGGTATGATGCCTTCGATGATGAATGAGGAAAATATGCAAGAGTTCATGCCCCACATGGCCATGAAGATGATGGGTATGAACAGACCTCCATTCATACCTTCTCCCGGCACACCTTTTCCTAGCCCGGCTCAAATAGCGGGTGTAGGTCCATCTCAAGCATATCCAGCAGCGCGCTACCCTTTTCCCAACATTCAGACCTTTGACCCATCCAGAGTCCGTTTACCAAGTCCGGTGGTTAACCAGACTCACTTTCCGGCTTACATGAATCCCTATAGCCATTTTGTTGGTCACCACCAGATGCTGCAACCTCCTCCTCCATTGCAGGTAATTCTTTCCCAGTATGCTGCATTGTGCTTATTCCTCTGTTTTTACGCATGCTTACAAGATCTCATCTAAAAATTGTTCTTATAGAGTCAAACAACACCACAGCTGAGTTCCGGCCAGGCAAGTAGTAGCAAGGAACCTGAGGATAAAGACAGCCAACCAAAAGGTTAGTAGGAATCGGGGAACAAAGGGTTTTCTTGTGAGATAAGTTAATGGTCAAGATACTGACAGATGCAACTCCATTGTGTCGTTGCAGGTTGATGTGTGGACCTAAAAAGGATCAGTTTTCCAAGCAAATCATAATGATAACCGGAGAGCTAACATGTAGATTTTGTCTGTTAAAGGTTATAAAGTAAGTACCTTTATAGTTCTATTTTCCTGTTTCTGTAAATATCAGAATCGGGAATCTAGATGGCCAATATGCACAAGTTGCAAGGTGGACCAGAGACCAATTAAAAACACAATGACTTAGCAATAGTACATTACCATCCTCGTCTTATACTCTTATGTTACAAATGTGACCAACCACTATAGGCCAATACAACATTATATAAAAACTAGTTTTCGAACTCGAAAATCATCGAGTGTTTTTTTCTGCTCTATGGGCCGTAAACAACATAAACCACGACGACATATGTGTTTATGTCTATGTCTCGGTAAAACAAACGATGGTAAGGAAGGATTAGTTTCTCTCCGATATCTCTCAGCCAAATGTTTTTTCTTTCAAATCAATGTTGTTTTCAAATGTGTGTGTTTAGATGGTAATACTAATCTGACATTTAATAATATATTTACATTATAAAGACATTTAGTAAAAAAAATTAAAAAAATTTGTAAGAATAAGAAATATTTTTGGCTCAAAATATTCCGCGTCACAGAAATATGTAAAAGAAATCGAAAAAAAGAAAGTCGCAGAGTTTGAGGCAAACACAACAAGACGTTGCAGAGCCAATATGTAATTAAATGTTTATTGATATTGTCATACTCATACGTAAGAAGAAGATGATATGTTTTTTACGTCGATACAAAAATCTCATTATGTTCTCTTCTGATGTTTTTGTTTAAAATAAAAAACACTAGCTTCCATATATAAGTCCATATGGAGCAAGAGAACAAAGTGACAAAAAAGAGTCGACGTGAAGAGTAATGACATCATTGTGAATAGTGAAAACGTCATTGTATGCACATAGACACACTTCCTGGTGTGAGAGAGCTTATCCTATGTTCCTAAGAGCATCTCCAAAGGGAGATTCTCTGAAATTTTTTGATCGGTTCTCTTAATTTAAGTGATTAGAAATAAATCAAAACATGTAATTATGAAGAGAGGCGTTTCTCTTGTGAGAGTTTTGAGAATGTGAGAGAGCCGCACACGTGGCAATCTCTGATAGGTTGATTAAACTTAACAAAAATAAAAAAAACCCCTCTCTCTTCATTTCTTCATCTCGTCGGGAAATAGAGCTCCCCAATTCTATCTCACCATTGGAGATGCTCTAAAAGCACACAATTTAATCGGTAAAAAAGAAAAGAAAAAATAGCGACTCAACGAATCTGACTCAAAAAGTTACAAACTCTGTTCACTAAGTGGTTTCTTGGAGCTTTCTAGGGTATATTGGAGACAAGAAATTCTCTTTTTCTTTCTTTTTAACAATTCACAACAAATAAAAAACTACTTTTTCATGATAAAAGGTAACAACAATTCACAACATGTGTTTGGTTTCTCTCATAGATTTGGTTCTTTTTGTCTGATCAAGACATAAATAATTTTTGTTCCCGACTTCGAAACCAACGATGATTATATCATCCCACATTCTTCTTCTTCTACATCTTCCTCCTCCTTGATCTCATTTCCCTAGAAAATCCATACATCATGTAAGTTCCTTTGCGATTCTTTGCTCTTATTTGCAAGTTTTTTCTGCACAGTTTGATGATTAGAGTTTGGGTTTTGGTTTGAAATTAGGGGTGAAGATGATATTGTGGAGCTCTTATGGAAGAGCGGCCGAGTCGTTCAAAGCAGCCAGACACAGAGACCTTCTTCCGATCCTCCTCCCATTCTCCGCGGCAGCGGAAGCGGCGGCGGAGAAGAAGAAGAAAATGCCCCGCTTCCTCCACCTCCACCTCTGCCTCCCCTGCATCATCAAAATCTCTTCATTCAAGAAGACGAAATGTATTCTTGGCTTCACCAATCTTACCGCCAAGATTATTTATGCTCCGAACTTCGCTACTCCGGCGTCGCCTCCAATCCGGCTACTCACCCGCAAAGTTCCATCTCTCCGGCACCATGTCCTTTTGCTCCATACGATCAGCGGGGTCAGACTATCGCCACGAGAAGGGTGGAGAACTTTATGAACTTCTCGTGGCTAAGAGGGAACATATTTACTGGCGGTAGAGTTGAAGCTGGAGTGGTGAGAGAATCGATCCAGTTGGGTTCGAGCACGACCCCTTCGTCTTCGGCCACTGAATCATGTGTAATACCAGCGACAGAAGGCACCGAGAGTCGAGTGTCACAAACTTTGGCAGTTCCTGGTCTTGGTCAGAAGGGAAAGGCGGTGGTGATTGAGACGGCCGAAACACCATCTTCAGGAGTGTGCAAGGCCGAAACAGAGCCGGTTCAGATACAACCAGCAACCATTGTCGAAATCCAGGTGAGTCAGAGCTTCCATAGGTTAACCTACGCACCCATGTTAGTCACTTGACCCGTGCAGTTTAGCAGTCAAGGCTTTTTTTTGTTGTTTCGTGGTGTACAGGGAACTGAAGAAGCTCGTGGTTCAATGTCTAGGAAGAGGTCAAGAACTGCAGAAATGCATAATCTCGCCGAAAGGGTTCTTATATTTCCATTGGAATTTCAAGATTTTGAGTTTCAACAATGGACTCTCTGTTTCATCTCCATTAAAACGTAGTTTTGTTTGTCAAACTTGTTTTTATTTAACAGAGACGGAGAGAAAAGATCAACGAGAATATAAAGACTCTGCAAGAACTAATTCCTCGCTGCAACAAGGTCTCTCACAGTTTCACATAACTTGTTGTTATTAAACTTAAGCTTGATTCTGATTCTGTTTCTACTCTGATCAGTCCACTAAAGTTTCAACGCTGGATGATGCTATCGAGTACGTCAAATGGCTACAGAGCCAAATACAAGTATGCTCTTAAAAACAGAATGTGTTTTAAACCACTGGTTCAACATGGAAACAGTTCAGATGTATCTAGTTTTGCTGAGGTTATTAGAGTTATTTTTGGTGTCTATCAACCAGCGTCTCCGCAGAGTTTGATGTCTGCGGATTCATCTTCTTGGAAGGGTTATAAAGTTTCTTGGGGGATAAATGCAAATCTTATAAGTCTCTACTTCGAAACGCTGGTACCTCGTTTAGATGGATGGCCTAATATCTGATTCCTCTTTTTAAACCCTGTCCTTTGAGGTCTTTACTCTTCTGTTTTACTTCCCGGTTACAGGATTATGTAGAAGATTTTAATATCTTAATCGATGTTGTTATGTCAGATGATGTCGACAGGACAGGGTATGATGCCGCCAATGATGTATGCAGGGAATACGCAACAGTTCATGCCCCACATGGCCATGGATATGAACCGGCCTCCGCCATTCATACCTTTCCCCGACACACCATTTCCTAGGCCGGCTCAAATGGCGGATGTAGATCCATCATATCCAGCACCGCGCTACCCTTTATCCGGCATTCAAACCTTTGACCCATCCAGAGTCCATTTACGAAGTCCGCAGCCTAACCCGGTGTCGAACCAGCCACAGTTTCCGGCTTACATGAATCCCTATAGCCAGTTTGCTGGTCTCCACCAGTTGCAACAACCTCCTCCTCCTCCATTTCAGGTAACTATTCCCCACAGTATCCATTATGTGAATTCCTCTGTTCCTACGTATCTATATATGGTGGTGTTCACAAGATCCTTTTTTCTAACTAAATGTTCTTATAGAGTCAAACAACATCACAAATGAGTTTCGGGCAGGCAAGTTGTACTAAGGAACCTGAGGATCAAGACAACCAACCAACAGGTTAGTAAGAATCAATAAAGGGGTTTCTTGGGAAATAAGTTAATGGCCAATTGTGTCTTTGTAGGTTAAAGTGCGGAGCTAAAAAGGATTAATTAGTTCTCCAATCAAATTACAATTTGCAGATAACATGTAGATTTTGTCTGTTAAGGTTAATGTATATCCTGTTTATGTTAATATCAGAAATCTTGAATCTAAATGGTCAATATATATACAGGTTGCAAGGTGGTCAGAGGTATTTGTGCATCCACAACAGCATCACGCTTAAGATTCCTCGATGCGGTCCCTTTGTTAGTTAGTATCTGAGGTCCTTGCTCTCTGGTTCCACGGTGACCAAATGTTCGACTAATTAAACACATAATGACCTAAGCAAAGTACATGTCCATCCACGTCTTTATGTTCCAAATGTGACTGTTTGTTTAAATTTATTTGTAATTATTTTCTTATAATAAAAAAGCTATATTTTCGTTAAATTTATATATATATATATATATATATATATATCAACCTTTTTTAGAAGCATTTCCCTGGAGATAAAGTGAGGAAGAAATTTCCTACGTTAAATGCTTTAACATCTCCTACGTCAAAACTCAAAAGAAATATTTAGTAGTATTATATGAAAAAATAAGAGTGAATTAAAGAAATATTTTTACTGTATGAGATTCAGTATGAACTTACTATCTATATGTATTTTTTCTGAAAATAAAAGTATTATCCAACAAAAAAAAAAAAACAATATAGATACAAAAGACGCAAGAGGAGCAATATGACTTTGTATCGATATTTGTAGAGAGGATGGCATAAGAAGAAGTCTGTTTGTTTCCTCAGGTTAATCTCATCATTATATATTCGGAATGTTTTGTTTCTCACGGAACTCTTAGCACAAAATTCTGAAATAATCAGAAGACTGTAGAACTCAAGAATGTGACCAACCACTAAAGGCCAAAACAACATTATAAAAACTAGGTTTCAAACTCGCAAATAAACCAAATTATGCAGGTTTTTTTTTTCTGCTCTCTGGTAAACGACAGAAACAGCGACGACGGTTGTTTTTTTTACTTCTTTTACAAATTTCCATTATATGTGTTTCTGGTCTTCTCTGTGGATTTTTTTTGTCTCAAGCTATATAAGCTTCCCTACTTTGAAACCGACGATGATTATATATATTATCCCTAATTCTTCTTTTTCTACTTCTATTTATTCCTCTTCCTTGATCTTTCTAAAGCATCCACATCCATCATGTAAGTTCCTTGAGAATTTTTTATTTCTCTTACTCGCAAGTTTTATCTTCACATGTTTGGTTTTGGTTTTGGTTTGAGATTAGGGGTGAAGATGATATAGTGGAACTCTTATGGAAGAGCGGCCAACTCGTTCGAACCACCCAAACACAGAGACCTTCCTCCGATAAACCCTCTTCTCCTCCACCCGTTCTCCGCGGTAGTGGAAGCGGCGGGGGAGATGAAAATGCTCCACTTCCGCTTCCGCTTCCACAGCCTCCACCTCCCCTGCATCATCAGAATCTCTTCATTCAGGAAGATGAATTGTCTTCCTGGCTTCACAATTTTTACCCCGGCGTCACGTCCACCCCGGCTACTCATCCCCAAAGTTCTGTCTCCCTGCCACCACCATCCAATGCTCCGTATATTTCCAGTTTTTTTCTTCATTCTCTTGCTTTCTGCAATTTGATGAGTCTGATATTAGAGTTTGGATTTTGGATTGAAATTAGGGGTGAAGATGATGTGGTGGAGCTCTTATGGAAAAGCAGCCAAGTCGTTCAATGCAGCCAGACACAGAGATCCATTCCTCCTCCCATTTTCCGCGGCAGCGGAAGCAGGAGCGGTGAAGAAACTGCTCTCCCTCCGCCTCCCCTGCATCCTTCTCAGCAGATTCTCTTTATCCAGGAAGACGAAATAGCGTCTTGGCTTTACCATCCTCTCCTCCAAGATTATCTTTCCTCCGGCGTCACTTCTACTCCGGCTACTCACCGACAAGGTTCCGTCTCTCTGGCACCACCACCACCACTCAGTGCTCCGTACGGTCAGATTACCGCTGCCAGAAGGACAGATAATTTTATGAACTTCTTGAGGCTTAAAGGGAACATACTTACCGGCGGTAGAGTTGAAGCTGGGCCGGTGGTGATAGAATCGACGCAGGTAGGCTCAAGCGCGACCCCGTCGTCTTCAGCCACTGAATCCTGTGTAATACCAGTGACTCACGGCACCGAGAGTCGAGCAACGGTCATTGGCGGAGTATCCCGTACTTTTGCAGTTCCCGGTTTTGGTAGGAGGGGAAAGGCGGTGGCGATCGATACGGCTGGAACATCATCTTCGGGGGTATGCAAGGCCGAAACAGAGCCGGTTCGAATACAACCGGAGACTGAGACGGAAATTGCCGAAGACAGGAAGCAAAAGGAGAGAGAAGAAACCATTGTCGAAATCCAGGTGAGTCAGAGCTCCCATAGGTTAAACTCGGCACCCATGCGTGAAGGTCGAGACTTATTTTTCTTTTCTTTGTGTACAGGGAACTGAAGAAGCTCGTGGTTCAACGTCTAGGAAGAGGTCACGAGCTGCAGAAATGCATAACCTCGCCGAAAGGGTTCTTACATTTCATTCCTTGGTTTCAAAAATGGACTCTCTGTTTCATCTCCATGAAGTGTTTTTTTTTTGTTAACAGAGAAGGAGAGAAAAGATCAACGAGAAGATGAAGACTCTGCAAGAACTCATTCCTCGCTGCAACAAGGTCTCTCACAGTTTCACATAACTTGTTGTTATTAAACTTACGGTTGATTCTGGTTCTGTTTCTACTCTGATCAGTCTACTAAAGTTTCAACGCTGGAAGATGTTATCGAGTACATGAAATCACTACAGATGCAAATACAGGTACAGTATGTCTTAAAACATAATCTGTGTAAAAGCAAACACAACCAGAAAGTGCTGTGGAATGGTTGACATGAAGATAGTTTAGATGAATCTGATTTTATGGGTTATTAGAGGTTTTTTTAATACTTTTTGTTTGTCAACCATTTAGATTTGATGTCTGCAGATTCATCTTCTTGGAAGGGTTTTAAAGTGTCATGGAAGATAAATGCAAATATTATAAGTCTATGGGTACCTCGTTTAGATGGTTGGCCTAATATATAGCTGATTCCTCTTAATTATTATGCCAGGTTCTTGAGGTCTTACTCTTCGCACGTTTACAGGATCATGACTGAAATTTTAATACATGAATCAATGTTGTTATGCCAGATGATGTCGATGGGTCATGGTATGATGCCACCGATGATGAATGCTGAGAATATGCAACAGTTCATGCCCCACATGGCCATGGGGATGAACCGGCCTCCTCCATTCATACATTTCCCTGGCACAGCTTTTCCTAGGCCGGGTCATATGGCAGGTGTAGGTCCATCATATCCAGCATCGCGCTACCCTTTTCCAAACACACAAGCTTCTGACCCACCCAGAGTCCAATTACCAAGTCTGGAGACTGATAACCCGGTGCCAAACCAGCCTCTATTTCCGGCTTACATGAATCCTTATAGCCAGTTTGTTGGTCTCCACCAGATGCAACAACCTCCTCCTCCATTGCAGGTTATTCTTTCCCAGTATCCCATTGTGCTTATTCCTCTGTTCCTAAAAATGAAGATGCTCACAAGATCCTTTTTTAAAAATGTTCTTATTGTAGAGTCAAACAACATCACAGCTGAGTTTCGGCCAAGCAGGTACTAGCAAGGGACCTGAGGATAACCAACCAACAGGTTAGTAAGAAACGGGGAATGAAGAGTTTTCTTGCGAGAATAAGTTAATGGTCAAGATTCTGACAGATGCATATCTCCATTGTGTTAGGTTGATCTAGTGGAGTTAAAAAGGATCTGTTCTCCAAGAAAATCACAATTTTGAAGGCGCTAACATGTAAATGCTTTGTCTGTTTAAGGTTAAAGTAGGTCCTTTTTCCATTTTTGTAAATGTCAGAACCTGGAATCTAGGGGTGTACGTAGGGGGTCAATATAAACAGGCTGGTGGGCAGGAGAAGAGAGATGTTAGTAGTGCATCCATCACACCTAATTTCTCCCTTTGCTAGCATCTGAGGTCCTTACTCTCTCGCTCCACGGTGACCTAATGTTCGAGTTCGACTAATTAAACACACAATGGCTTAGCAAAAGTACTTTGTTTATAATATCATCCTTTTCCAGAAAATGCGGAGAGAAAATCATAAAAGAAATTCTCTGCAAAAGAATAACCAAGTACGAGCCCCGCTTGGAAAAGAATGGTATACTTCTTCTCATAAAGTTATATATCCGGATTCCGGACCAAAGGACATTAATTACGGGTCTAACCTTAACGTCCTAGAAACTATGATTCCAACGAAAGAAAAGAAGAGCGTAATTAAAAGTCTGAGCCGTCTTGACTGAATGTCTGAGCCAAAATGACTAAATATAAGTATTTGATATTGTAAAGAGGATGGCGTAAGAAGAAGTCTGTTTGTTTCCTAAGGTTGATACAAAAGTCTCACTATTACATTTTCCGGTGATTTTTGTTTACACGTACACGTACATGAGTCATTCGGAATATACCAAAAGTCATAGCACGCACAAAGACGCTCATGTCCAGGGGGGGAGAGAGAGAGAGGGAGCTTATCTAGCACAAAATCAGAGAGAATCATACAACAGAGAAACATAAATAAATTTAAGGAACTCGCAAATCAATGTATGTGCATGTTTTTTTCTGGGCTCTGGATGGTTCCTTTGGAGGTTTATGGGTAAACGACATATGTTTCTTTTTTCTTTCTTTCACAAATATCTGCTTTTTCTCCTGATAAAAGGTATAATTCACAAGTTTCCAATACTATGTTTTGAGGGTTCTCTCAGAAATTTTGTTTCTTTTGTCGCAAGATATGGATCATTTTCGCTCTAGACTTCAACTTCAAAACCTATGATGATTATCTTATCACAGATTCTTCTTCTTTTTCTTCTATTTCTCCCTCCTTCTTGATCATCCCACAAATTCCCATCCATCATGTAAGTTTCGTTACTTGCAAGTTTTTTTTTTTCTCACTTTGCAATTCGACGAATCTTTTATTAAGGTTTTGGGCTTTCGTTTGAAAAATAGGGGTGAAGATGATATAGTGGAGCTCTTTTGGAAGATTGGCCAAGTCGTTCGAAGCAGCCAGACAGAGATACCCTCTTCTGATCCTACTCCCATTCTCCGCGGCAGGGGAAGTAGAGGCGGAGAAGAAAATGTTCCGCTTCCGCCTCCTCTGCCTCCACCGCATCATCAAAATCTCTTCATCCAGGAAGATGATATGTCTTCTTGGATTCATCATCATCCTCTCCTTCAAGATTATTTATGCTCTCAACTTTATGCTTCCACTCCGGCTCCTCACCCGCAGAGTTCCGTCCCTCTGGCACCACCACAATCCAGTGCTCCGTACGGTCAGATTATTATCGCTCCAAGAAGGGAGGAGAATGTTATGAACTTCTTGAGGCTAAGAGGTAACATATTAACTGGCGGTAGCGTTGAAGCTGGACCGTGGATTCCGGTGGGTTCGAGCGCGACCACGTCCTTATCGGCCACTGAATCCAATCTAACACCAGCGACCGAGAGTCTACCAACTGTCACTGGCGGAGTGTTCCACACTTTTTCAGTTCCCAGTCGTGGTGGGAAGGAAAAGGCGGTGGCCATTCAGACGGTTTGCGAGATCGCCGGAACATCATCTTCAGGCGTTGAAACAGAGCCGGTCCGGATACAACCAGCGACGGAGACTGATATTGCCGATGGCAGGGAGCGAAAGGAGAGAGAAGAAACCATCGCCGGAATCCAGGTGAGTTACAGCTCCGAGAAGTTAGTTAGTTGACACGTGCAGTTTAACCCTTTCCTTGTTTCGTGGCGTACAGGGAACTGAAGAAGCTCGTGGTTCAACATCTAGGAAGAGATCACGAGCTGCAGAAATGCATAACCTCGCCGAAAGGGTTCTTATATTTCCATTGGAATTTCAATATTCTGAGTTTCTTCTCCATTACAACGTAGTTTTGTTTGTCAAACTTGTTTTTGTTTAACAGAGAAGGAGAGAAAAGATCAACGAGAAGATGAAGACTCTGCAAGAACTCATTCCTCGCTGCAACAAGGTCTCTCACAGTTTCGCATAACTTGTTGTTATTAAACTTAAGCTTGATTCTGATTCTGTTTCTATTTCTACTCTCATCAGTCTACTAAAGTTTCAACGCTGGAAGATGTTATAGAGTACGTGAAATCTCTAGAGATGCAAATACAGGTATGCTCCTCAATAACAGAATGTGTGTTAAAGCAAAACACAACTAGTGGAATGGTTAAATATGGGATTAGTCTAAGATGAATCTAATTTTACACCCACTTTTAGATATGATATCTGCAGATTCATCTTCCTGGAAGGTTTATAAAGTGTCATGGAAGATGCCTTTTTTTAGATTTGATGTCTGCAGATTCATCTTCGTTTAGATGGGTGGCCTATTTGATGATTCCTCTTCTTATGCCCTGTCCTTAAGGTCTTGCTCTTTTTGTTTCTTGCAAGTCATGAATTTGTTTCCAACTTTACAGCATTATGTGATGAATTTTCGGATCATGACTGAGGTTTTAATATCTGAATCGATGTTGTTATGCAAGATGATGTCAACGGGATGTAGTACGATGCCGATGATGTATACATCGAATACGCAACAGTTCATGCCCCACATGGCCATGGGGATGAATCAGACTCCTGCATTCATACCTTTCCCTAGGCAGGCTCATATGGCGGGTGTAGGTCCATCATATCTACCACCGCACAACCCTTTTCCAAACATTCAGACCTTTGACCCATCCAGAGTTTGGTTACAAAGTCCGCAGCCTAATCCGGTGCCGAACCAACCTCAGATGAATCCTTATAGCCAGTTTGTAGGCCACCACCAGATGCAACAACCTACTTTTCCTCCATTGCAGGTAATTCTTTCCCAATATTGTACTTATTTCCTCTGTTCCTACAAATAAAGATGCTCACAAGATCCGTTTTTAATAAATGTTCTTATAGAGTCAAACAACATCACAGCTGAGCTTCGGCCAGGCAAGTAGTAGCAAGGAACCTGATGATCAGAACAACCAACCACAAGGTTAGAAAGAATCAGGGGATGACCTCAGGCTTTTCTTGAGTGATGCGTTAATGGTCAAGATTTAGACAAATACATCTCTATTGTGTCGTTGCAGGTTGATGTTGTGCAGTTAATAAAAAAAAATCAGCTCGCTAAGCAAACCACAATTTTGAAGATAACCAAGGCGCTCACATGTAAAAATTTTGGTCAGTTTCAAGGTGAAGTAGGTCCAGTTTTAGTTGTTTTTGCTTGTTTTAAGGTATGCTATAGAAGAGATGTTTGTGTATACCAAAAGGGCGTCGTTTTTATAGCCAGTAAACATTTCTCTTAAACTATGCAACAAAAACACCAAGCAAGAATACTTCTGGAATTTATGTTCTGAAGCAACTACACTCACTGTTCGTCACTACTCTTCGAAATGTTTGATAGAATCTGAAAAAAAAAAACAAAGTGGGAAACTTAGCCGAGGCTCTTTTGCTGGTCATTGATTGTTGCACGTTCTTGAAAAGAAGATAAAAGCTTTTAAGACGGTACCTTGTCTGTGAATTCGCGGAAAGCTTCTATTCCCATGGCTCCATCGAGTTCCTGATACATCCACAAATAGTTTCATCAAATCTTGTCAAAAGAAATCAATAACAGCGATGAAAATATTGAATCCATGACGATGTAGATGAGCTTTACCTGTAAAGGGTTGGAAGAACTATCAATTCTGTAGATGAGTTTCTGAAGAGCTTCATCCTTTAGAGCTTCTCGGATTTCACTAGAAGAAGCTGTAAAAAGTTTCCAGATTTAGAAATGGCATACGAAGCTATAGACGTTTGTGATCCAATAAGTTGAGAAAACGGATCCAAAATTGAGAATTAGTCGATATGTAAGTTAGTTGGAAGAACATTACCGATAGCCTCGAAATGTGTCTTTTCTAAAACATACTTTTCCTCCTCTACATGTATCGGTCTTGCTACCGGAATTTCCTTTGCTGGAGATTCAGCTACAAGAAACAGATTATGACTTAAACCCAGGTTCAAACATTTATTGTCTGATGCATAGCATCTCTGGCTACATCAGAGGTTTTGAAAATCAGACTAAGTTGGAAGAACCGTACCACTAGCCTTGTGCTGTGTCTTCTCTACTACATCATTAGCTTCCTCAGGTCTTTCCACCGAGACTTCCTTTGCTGGAGAAGCTGCTACAAAACCAGAGCATGATTCACACTGAGTAACTTACGAATTTCTTGTCTGATGCCATAGCATCTCTGGCTACATTAGAGGTTTTGAAAATCAGCCCATGAATGTAAATGAGACCAAGTTCGACGAACTTGAACCATACCACTAGCCTTGTGCTGTGTCTTCTCCACTACATCATTAGCTTCCTCAGGTCTTTCCACCGAGACTTCCTTTGCTGGAGAAGCTGCTACAAAACCAGAGCATGATTCACACTGAGTAACTTACTAAAGTGAGCAAACAGGACAAATTCGATATGGTATGCTATTAATCAAATCAAATAAACAGAAATGCAAAACCTAACAAAGGAACTAATCAAGAAACAATGAAAATAACTAAATGCACTAACCTGGCTTATCCACTGTTGAAGAAGGACCAGAAGGTTTAGCACATGGAGTCTCTGCATCATTGGTTAGATTATACATAGTTAGAACCACATCAATATAAACCTAAAGTAAAACCAAGATTGTTCTGCTATGAAAACAAAACAGATAAATAAAACAAATTTCCTCTACTTGGTCACAATCTCCAATGAAATTAGCAATGCAAAGGTCACGAGGTTGAAGCTAAGTAATAAAACAAGAGACACTCAACGAGTTCAATTACAAAGTCGAAAACTTTAGGTCTCACAAAGAAACAAACATCAATCAAGGAGCTGATCCAACTTTAAACTTGTACGAAATTCATAAAGAAACCAAAAGAAATTACCTTTGTGAATCTTGAAACAACCCAATGAACAGCTGCAGGCAAGCCACAGAACCAAGTAAGAAACAATGACAAAGATGACTTAGATGAAACGAAAGATAACCTAAACATTCAAAAGAGAGAGAGAGAGAGAGAGAGAGAGAGAGAGAGAGAGAGAGAGAGAGAGAGAGAGAGAGAGAGAGAGAGAGAGAGACGAAGAAGAAAGAAGAAGACTTACTAAGGAACAAGACAAGAAGGGCACTTGTATTTGGATACAAGCTTCTTGCAGATATCGCATGTTGGAGCAGCTCGAGGACACATCTCTCACTCTCTCAACGACCACAGCGATTCACAGGAACAGAGAAAACCTCAATGGGGTTTTACCTCTTCAGAGTGGAAAATAATGAAAGCCCAATGGGCCCAATAGGCCCAATAGGCCCAATGGGCATAACAGTTACAGTATCGGCTTCTTCTCCTTCCTGCTTTTTGACTTGCTTTGTGAATTCAGCAGAATTCAGAAACGCCGGAGAAAAAGATGAAGCTGAAACAATTAGAAGGCTTGTTGGGTGATCTTGAACAGTTCTCCAATCCTAAAGTATGCGAAAAAAGATTAGAACTTTGGATTCTAAGATTGTTGTTTTCTGGAAAATTCCTTGTTTGATATTTTGTTTTTGTGTCGTAGGTGGAATTGGAGCAATACCCAACTGGTCCTCACATTGCTTCTCGTATGCTTTTCACTGTAAATTCCTTCTTCCTCTGCTCCAAAGTTTATTACTTTTCTTAATTTCACGCTTTCTGTGAAGTGGGTCTTCACTGTCTAATCTAGAATTAATAAGATGTCAGATTTCTTTACTCTGAGTTGTTATTTGGGATGCTTGGTTTTTGTTCCTGTTGTAAGCCTGAAGTGTGTGTGTGTGTGTGTGTTGGTTCTGTATCCTTTGTTTAGGCAGAGAATTCATACGGAGATATAACTGATAAGGTCGTTGCGGATTTTGGTTGTGGCTGTGGTACTTTAAGTGCTGCTGCTGCTCTTTTAGATGCAGCGTGAGTAAATTCATCTCTACCTCACTCTTCTCTCATCTATGTATTTATTCGTTCTCTGGGGTTATCTAATCTCTTTATTGCTTCAAAACAGGTCTGTGATTGGATTCGATATCGATCCTCAATCTCTTGAAACAGCAACACTAAATGCAGAGGAACTTGAGGTTATCTTGAAATCCTTCTTTATGTAAACGAGTCTTCTTTAGGTTGTAGCAATGCTGTTGCTGTAATTGGTTTGTTTCGCAGGTTGAGATAGATTTCGTTCAGTGTGACATTACAAAGTTAGAGTTAAAAGGTACAATCTCCTTTCAGTTTAATTCATTCAACGAAAAGAAGAATCTACTTGTAACATTTTTGTGGCTCCATGAATTGTTTTAGGCCTGATTGTTGATACGGTTGTAATGAACCCTCCATTTGGTACACGAAAGAAAGGAGCTGACATGGAGTTTCTCTCTGCGGCAATGAAGGTAAAAAACAGAAACGAAAATCTCATTCTACTGTTTTCTGAATTTCGTATCACTCGATTATTTGTTTTATATATTCGATGTTTTGTTACGCAGGTCGCGTCAACAGCAGTTTATTCCTTGCATAAGACATCTACCAGAGAAGTAAGCAAAGCCTTCCTTCTTCCTTACAATAACTACTTACTTACTACTCACATTTAACTATGTATTTTGTTAGTAACAACCTTTATATTCTCGCAGCACATTAAAAGGGCGTATTTGCGTGATTTCAATGCGAAAAGTGCTGAAGTTCTATGTGAGGTTGGGCTAAAAGATTTGAAAATTATCATATGAAACTCTGATGGAATGTGTCTGAACATTCTAACTTATTCATATTGTTCCCCTTGCAGCTCCGATATGACTTGCCAAAACTCTACAAGTTCCACAAGCGAAAAGAAGTTGATATTGCTGTTGATCTCTGGCGTTTTGAGCCTAGACAGAGCTAGACCGCCACGATCATGTAATGTTTAACTTTGAGATAAGCTTGATTATGTATGGAGGGATTCATGATATGATGAACTCAGGTTTTATAACCAAAAATGTCTACAAAAATGGGAAGATTTTCCTTTTTTTTTTTTTTCATCAAATGGTAAGATTTTCCTCTAATCTCAACAAAAACACTGTGCTCTATCAAAACATATTGCACATGCGTGTAGACATTCAGATCTTAGACCACCACCAACCGAGACATTTTCTTACCAATGGATTAGCCACTGCTTGCATTGCAAGATCATCATCTACCAATTCCTTGAATGTTTCACTTCTTCCGACAAAATCAGTCTCAACGTTCATTTCTATCAACACTTCATTCTGAGAATTGTGGATGTATGAACCGGTTCTCCCTTGTGCTGCGATCCTGCTTGATTTTTTATCCGCCGTTGAAAGACCTTTCTTTCTAAGATATTCTTGTGATTTCTCAAGATCCCCTCATGTCGCTGCCAATGCCATCTTGCAATCCATCATTGCGGCTCCTGTTTCTTTCACGTTGTTGCTTCACAAGAGTAGCCAAAACCACTGCAGTTGCTAATGCCATTTACCCGAAATCAGCCAATGGATCGGTGTTTTTAAAGTCATGATATCAGATGGTTAATAAAGTGAACTCGAATCAGGCATCCAAAACGAAAATGAGTTAATGTTTGTTTTGTTTGAAGGGAATCAAATATATGTGGACCTTTAATCTCACAAACAAAGGAAATTTATGATTTAGTTAAGTAATTCTTTTTGAACAAACTAAAAAATGAATAACTCGAACTAACTTTAAAACCGAAATGTTCCTCCTAAAAATGAATAAATTCAACATATACCAGAAAGTCACAAAATTTCTGAATAAGAAATAAACTAAACTTGGTATTAGTTACATTTAATCTTTTTTTTATTGTATATAAAATAGTAGAAGGAACAGCATGGATGCCAACTGAATTGATGAATAAAATAAAATCAGCAAATGGATCAAATCTGTACTGTCGTCTAAAAGATTGTTACAAAGTAATCATTCAGAAAGGAGAGAAGAAAAAGTTGGAAAGGTATTACACTATTATTTAATTTGTATGGTTGATGGTGAAGGAAGCTTCATCGAACAAATACTCCTTAATTCATTTGCTTAGAGCTAATAAAGATTCAGCATCAAACGATTCTCAATGATTTAATTATATCTTCTCCCACGTGGGACGAACATTTCGTACCCTTATCGACTACATACTCATTTTAATATACACTACCTAAACTAATCTTACTTTGGCAATTGTATTTCGTAATTAATATATAAGTTACTAGATGGATTTCTCGTATTAGCCAAAAAGTACATTTTGCTGGAAATTGATCACCAAATGTCAATAATTGTAAATTTTATAAAATACTTTTATTTGGTTGAATTATACGACTCTTGTCCCCCTTTTCATGAACGATTTCTTTATGCACGATTCGTCTTTATTTGGTCTTATTCATGATTCAATAAGTATATATCATATCTAGCAACTTGTTACATCAAATGAAGCTCCCACATGTATTGAGTGTTATCCGACGGAAGAAACAATGCCATTTAAGAAGAACAATACCATAAAACAATACATTATAACTTGAAGACATATATATATATATATATAATAGGGATTCTATATAATATGAGCAAATAATTTAGGCTTAACCTTAAAAACAAACCAACATGTCCATAAGCCCATATCCAAGGATAGATCATGCAAGACAACTAGCTAGGGATGTCGTCTTAGCTAAGAATTTTCATTTTAATTTATTTCAGATATGCTTTGGACGAGAGAGAATGAGCCAACCAAATTTGCAATAATAATTTTTTTCTCGAATTTATTTATAGGCATCTTTAATTAATAAAGAAATGTGGAGGCTACGACTTCGATAATTTTTATTATACAACTTCGAGGTATTTGCATATATAGTGTTTCTAAGTAAACTATAGTAGTATATTACAAGAACTACTAAAACGAATGAATATTGTCGAACACTCAACTCTTTAAAATGACTAACCAATAATTTTGAGAATATTGTGTACAAGATTGCGCTCTTTATGGAGTAGAATATGTATTTTTCCTATTTAAAAACATGATTTATTCACGGTGTGACACCAATTATCAATCTTGACATACTGTATATAAAATAGCTTGCGTAAAAGTATATGGTCAACTTGTGATCATTTAAAAAGAGTTCGAGTTAAAACGAAATCAATGTAAATAAACTATAGTATATATATTTACAAGATGATCATGGAGACAAATCCTATCATTATATATAGTAATATAATAGATAATCTAAAGTGATTTTGGTAGACAACTAGATAGAGATGACCTTGGAAACTGCGATATCAGCTTCCTGAATCTCTGAAGCCCTCGCATGTGGAGAGATGCTCTTCCTTTTGTCAAACACTTCACTTTTTTTTTTTCTATTTCCCTAAGCTTAATTTAATAATCAAAACCTTTTTACCTCCACAAGTTAAATAAGTACAATTTGTATATAATTATAAGATCTTTAGATGTGAACACTTGACTCTTATTTTAATGTATATGGTGCTTGATCTAGAGCAATAAGTCAACAAAATTTTAACTTGTCAAACATTTACATGAATACGATATTGGATGCTCAATTTCTGTTCGGTTCAATTAAAATCGATCTTTATTATTCGTTAAACGGTTTAAAATCAATCATATAGGCCACCACACATATATTTTTCCTTTTTCTTTATTTTCTTCCTTATCACTGTTGACATTTGTGTAAAGTGTAAACCCGTAATTAAGTTGTCAAATTGTATAATATGCACGTACGTCCGCATGACATTCTGCAAAATCACAACGAAAACCAGGATAAAAATAATTGCCAGAAAAATACATCACATGTGTATGAAATCTTCAGAACATTTTATTTATATTTTTTAATTGTTGTTGAAATTTGAACAGCCAGTTGGTTTTGGTACATTATGCATGTGTGTTTATGTGACCAGGATCTTCAACTGAAGCCAAATTAATGAGAAATTGGATATACCTTATTATCTTCAACTGATAATTATAAATTAATTTATAATTAATGTGACTTAACCTTTTATCAAAAAAAAAAAAACAATTACTGCAAAAAACATGCTTTAAGCAGTAATACATTTTTTTTTGACATCGAGCAGTAATAATTATTTGTGACAAAAATAGAAAGAAAATAAGCCCATGCGTCCATGATCCTGTCTCTTGGCTCTTGCTCTCGTACAGATACATACAGGAGGATATACATTTTTAATAAATGACCGTTGCAGGAAGACTGAAGACATGAAAGTTTGGGATATAGAACTCAGTCACATACCTAAATATATATAGACCAA